TAGGAGTAAAAATAAAAACTCTCCACTATAGCCCCTTAATTAATGCTTGCCTGTGTTGAACCTAGTTGTGTTAAGTCAAAGCTACACTGTTTAATGATCACTTTCCTTTCAATTCTTCAGAAACATACTTTTTTGCCTTTACCTATATGTATCATAAAGGTCCTAACGTTTTTACAGATGTTTTTAATTATGAGAAAAAATAGAATATTGTAGTATTAACAAATTCAATGCTGAATCATCTCTTTACAATATTGATATTACTATTATTATTATTATGTGTTGCAAACGGAGGGTCCCAAAGAATGGAATAATTTTATAGTTATTAATATGGACAAACAGCCAGGAATGAAATGGAGCACAGAGCTTAGAACAGGGGGTCAGCAGTTTTTGACTGGAAACCCCTAGTCAAGCTTCTCTGTATCTTTATTAAGAATTATCAGGAAGTAAATCACAGAGAAAATTCAATGCAGATGAGGCCACTCTCTATTGAAAACCTTCTGCCTGGCTCGAGAGGGAGGGGTTCACAAATTCAAAAATTCGGCATGTTTTTGGGAATTGCCTTGATGCCTCAAGGTGAACTCCAGCTCAGGAAGCAACACTCCCTCTTTGGGGGTCCCCTGCTGTCTCCTGTCTGCAAGGAACAAACAGCTTATTTTCTAGGATCTAACACAAGGAAAACACTAACTTATATATCTGTGGTTCCTTCAATTCCTTTTTCATATAATGTTTAGTAAAATGAAAGTAGTTTTGCTTTGAAATAGAATGTCTGGTTGTGCCAGAATATGAAAGATAGTAAAAGCTAAATTACGGATGTATAGTAAGTTGTAAAAGGTTTAGAGAAAAGTGAATTTTAGTGTATGTATTTGGGAACAAGGATGGAGGAGAACTGTGTTAAACCTCAAAAATGTCAAATTCAGTGCTATATCAGGAAATGAGGGAGGCTTAATGCAATCTGAAGGTCACCCTGTGGCACTAGGGTGTTCCCTAGGAGTCATCATTGTTCTTGGTTTGTATCAACTGAGTCCCTCCCTACTGAGATTAGGGTAAAGAGGAACTTGTCCTTATCTGTGAAAGAGTTCACCATTATCCTTTATTTTTGTTTTGTACTTCCTTATGATTTTACTTTGTTTACCTCCCTTGTTATTCTGGTAGATACTCAGAGAGGCATGGCTTGGGGCCTTCATCATGGGAGCCGTTGGCCCCCTGTTTTTCACGCTGACTGTTCTATATCAGAATATTAATTAAATTAATCCATGTTTGGAACTGACTGAGCAGGACCTCATTATTTCCCAATTGGAAATAATGATCCTAATTCTAGGGGAGAATTAACTATGCAGGCTCATTGGGCTTTGAAGGAAGTTCAGAATTTTATCTCTTCATTTTCTCTCTTGTATAAATCATAGTAGAAAGTTATTTCTTTGTATTTTAGATGCTAAAAGGACTCCTACTGCTGTATTCTGACAGAATACTCTTTTAAGATGAATTCATTTATCCCGTTCACCTAAAGAGGTTTGTGGACTTGCCCACTGGCTGTATCTCAATTAATAGCACAGTCAGGAAAGACAATATTTTGATATAAGACCTTATGAAATCATTGTCCCTTATAATGCTTTACTATTTAATTGGCTATATCAATATTGTTCAGAATAGATAATTGCATTAGCCAATTATCTTGGTCAAATTAC